AAAAAGTGAATTACAGGCCCTGTGGACCTTTTACATTTCACAACTAGAAAAGGAATGACATATTCAGGTATGTTTTTGTGTACTCCAAAATACTGCGAAGTTTTTACAAAATCGGAGGGTGGGTGGTTTTTGGGATCCCAACTTTAAGAATCTTTGTATTACTGCCAAAAACTGTAACTCGTTCCCGGAATTCAAAATACATATCTCATATTGATGTATGCTAATGGTCCTACTATCTAAAACAAAATAAAGGAGGTGGTTACTTTATGTAAGAAAATCCTATATCGACTTCGCTGGTGTTTTGCTTGCAAAATCGACTCAACCTGTTACATTACATGTCCAAAATGCATGAAACTCCAAGTAGACAAGTCAGGTTCATTGTTGTTTAATTTCTGACCTTTGTAGGTACGAAGCATTCAGAGTACTTCAAAAGTCGTCCAGAATATTCAGAAGAATGGTCAAATATGCAGGTACTGTTCAATACATGAATCCACTAGATCCATTCATATGATGAATTCAATACACATTGATATAAGCATATTCCAAACATGTATTTCCAGTTTACATCAATGTCACGTTTAATATATATTCTGGCATATAATGTAATGTGCAATTGATCTGGTTAATAGCAATGGACATTTTTCAATTTCCTTTTACCATGTAACGTCAATATTGGTAGGTCGGAAACCGTGATTGCAGAAAAGTTCAAAACATTACGTATGCCTCTTGTGGGATTGTCTAGGAGTTAAGGCGACAGGCTTCCGATATTATCAACCCCAATTTCTGGTTTTAACCCATATGCACTGTCTCATTTTCGATACTGTTTTCAGTGAGGGCAATAGTTAAATTCTTATTTTGTAAGCTTTCGAAGACATCTTATTTCCTTTGTTTAGCAAAGAGTGCACATGACCGGTGTCTAGACTATAATCCGCTTAATACAACTCACTAAGCCACAGTCAGATGTCAGAACATATTGAGATATTTCATCCAAGTAGCAGCTGACTTTCTGACATGGCACATTATGGCTTAGGGAGATGTTTTCAGCGGTTTAGAGTCAAGAAACCGGGTATTTGATCCCTTTGGGTCACAAAGGACACAGAAAGCTCAAAATATTAGCTTTCAATTACTGTTAGTGCTAAAAACAAACTTAGCATTTATGAGTAACTCTTGTAACCTATGGCGATCGATTTTCATCCGTATTGCATAAACAATCGAATTTCGACATCTTCTCTAAAACCGCCCGTCAGATGTTTATGAATCTTGATAGTTTTAGCAACAGCCTGAGGTGGGGATAAGAATATATAATCGAGATGGGGCGGACCTCCCCAGGGGGCTGAGGGAAGGGGCCATAAGAATTCACGAAGTGCAAATATTTCAAAAGACTTGGATTTTTATCAATATTTCTTAAAATGATGCTTTGATAATGATAATCAGAATTTATACTGAAGAAGGGGCTGCTCATAGGGAGTCTCATAGTGCAAAACCTGTAACAATCATATTTGTTGCTGTCAGAGTTTGATGAAACTTGGTGGTAATCTTCAACCTAAGATAGGAAACAATCACTAACAATTACATTACTCCTTACAATCTATATTCGTGATACAACTTGTAGGTCTGACCAGTCAGGGGACAGAGAGGCGCGGCTTTAAGTGGTTAAAGAGAAAACCTCCAAAAGATTTCTTTTGTGAAATTTACAGCGGGATTGTCACCAATATTTCTTAAAATGATGCTTTGATGATGAGCATCAGCATTCATACTCCAGAAGGGGATGATCCATGAGTGGTTGATAGGGGGTCACTTAGTGCAAAATCTGTAACAATCACATTGTTTTCTTTCCAGAAACTACATGTATCTGTCAGAGTTTTATTGGTGATAATCATTAATCAACCTAAGATGGGGATAAGTATTTTCACTCACATCACATTGATAACTGACATTTCTATTTTAGATTATGGGACCATTCAGGCCCATGGACATTTTGTTATTCACACCAAACAAATAAATCTCATTCCGAATTTAAGGGAGATAATTCATATCTTTTCGAAGTATAGAGGATTTTTAATTATTTAAATAAATGTGATTTAAGTCAAAATTATAACAAAGCTTATGAATGTGTTTTGTTTTTTGAAACTGTCTTATTATCGTATATTGAAAACAAGTCATGCTTAAGTTTGGTATCATGTCCAATTCATTATTTAATCACCACAGTGACATCACTTTTTTATTCTTTGTCAGTTTTATACATGGTTCAATACGTGAAGCTTAATAGATGTTCAACTTCAATTGCCCATATTGAACCATACTAGCATTAGCTCACTTAGTCTGACTTAGGGACAAATGAGCTAAATAAGTCATTGTGCGACATTCGTCATGACAACTTTTACTTTAAACAACTTCTTATATAACCAAGGGCCTAAGATAATGATAATTTGCCAGAAGCATGTTTGGATGAATGCTATAAAGTTTTATCAAATGTTTGACCTTCACCTATATTCAGGGTCATATAGGTTAAATGGCTCAAGATATTTGTACAACTTCTTCTAGATATCCTATAGCATATATATTGGTGATGATGTTTGGTCATGAGCATGCTGGGATGAATGTTTTCAAGTCTAACCAAATAGAAGACTTTTAATCATATTCAAGGTCGCAAGGGTTAATGTGAATCTAAATGAATGACCTAATAATATGTAGAATAATAATATCTAGTTTATTTCAATGAAATTGAATTGTACCTGCCTGTATTTCATAGATATGACATGGATAACAGGTGAGCAACAGGTCCATTTGGGCCTCATGATTTTATCTATGATATTGAATAATTGCAATTTTTAGACAAAGATGGTAAGGTATAACGCAAACTTCAAGAATCATTATGGATCTATTAAGAAAATCCAAAAATAATTTTAGTTTGATATTAATATCATCTGAAACTGTCATATGATTAGCATATTTGCATAGTTAAGTTCGTTAATAATATGTAATTGTGTAGTAATTAAAAAATTATATTTTATTTACATTGTAAGGAGGAAGAACAGAATAAAATACAAAGATTGAAAGCAAAACTCCCTGACGACAAGGGATGTTTTTGGTTCATTGGCCATTATGGTGCTGGCAAGTCAAGCACCATTAGTTCATTTCAAAGTTTAAGAGATGGTGGGATTTCAACCATCGCTATTCCTGGAGGAGCAGAAGAAACATTAACGAAAGAGGTACAATAAACTGATATCACAACTTGAAAGTGACAAAAGTTCCACATAAATGATAAAGTTATACTACAATACTGAATGTTGAAATAAAAGCAGTGATTAACAAATTCATCTGACATATCACAGTAAACTAGCATTGTTATTTTCAAATCTTAGGAAATACATGTACTGAGGGCTAAGATTTTGAGATGAGTTGATAAATTATGATAAATGTTTGGTAGGAAGACAAATCTTCATTCTTGTGCCCTGCCGTAGGTCACTGCATTTTTTTCTGACCTGCTTATGAAATCTATCATAATATCACGCATGAATTAGAATTGTTTTATAACAGTTTATTGGCAGTTCTGTAAATTCCTACTCATCATTATATCTCACAGTAATGTTCATTTACTTTCCAAACATCTATTGTAGGAAAAACTACAATTTGAATAGAATATTGACCTCACATAAGCATTCTAGCAGCATCGCAAGACATTTCCAAGTCAGTTTGTCTTTTTTATAAATATGTAACAACCGATGACAGTTAGCAATAAAAGAAGTTCTTGTTGCGCTACCTGTTAAAACATCACGTACACGATATATCCATGTATAAAAGGACAGAAGGCATGTACCGTGAACTAAATTTGTCTGCTGAAAACGAATGTAACCGTCCGTGCAAAAACATAACACCAGATAAATTATATTATTTTACCTGATTTTATTAGGTCCCGCATACAATTATCATCGGTCACATTATATTAATTTAGAAATCAGACGGAAGTGTTCTTAACATTATTTACTTGTTAAGTGTGTGAGGAAATTGAAATCATCAGATTAGTGGAGATGTAAATATATTTTGTTTATTTATAAAAAATAAATCCTTAAAACAGCTACAAATCCATTCAAAGCATATAATTGACAAATAATCAAGTTATTCTTTCACATTAATTTCATATCCTTTTCTAATCTCATTCCACTCTTTGCCTTTGAAAGGTGTCCAGTACTGATATGCTTGGCGGGAACGTAAAGCTGTTTGACTTCCCTGGTTTTCAGAAGAAAGGAACGATTGATGAATCCATCGCCATGCGTAAGCTTATTGAGGACAAAATAAAAAGCAAGTCAGAGGTAATTGATTTTGTTCTGTGTAAAATTTACATATTAAAAAAGAACTGTTGCTTTTCAAACTGTAAAAAAAACCATGTTTGTCACTACAGTAAAGGCCTCATAACTACTTTGTCATTTATGTCCAGCATCAGGCCAAATTTGAGTGGGACCTCTAAACAGGGTATTAAAATCATCGCTTATAAAGGAAAGTTCTTGATAAATTATCGCTTGATGACATCAAGTTAATTTGACAGTGATTGCCCGAGTGTTTATTTAACTAAGTAGGATTTCACTTACTGCCATACACCAACTAGAGGAGGCGTCACTCACTGCCAACACATCAATCAAAGGGCATCACTCACTGCCCACACATCAAGCAAACGTTGTCAATTACTGCCCGAACAACAATAAGTGGGGGCGTCACTTACTGCCCAAAAAACTGTTGTGACTCACTGCCCGCACATCAATTCACGGGTCGTCACATACTTCCAACTGGCATCAATGCCAGTAAAGTAATAATATTTTTTTTAAATGAAAATTTAAACCAAGAAGTCAATTGCTAGCTCAACTGCCTGAGGGGCATCAACTTTTCTTTTAAGGTGACAATTAATTGAAGCAACTTATTTTTTTATAATCTTGTCACAGAATTCCTTATGATAAAATAATATGATTCTCCTTATGAACAATTCATGACGAGAAATTGACCAGAGACAATGTTTTCTTGGCCTTATTATCAGTAATGAAGACAAGAGGCCCATGGGCCTTAACGGTCACCTGATATATT